TATGTATTCATCTGTGTCCCACACATTTCTGACTCCCAGCTTTGTTTAACAGGGTTGCTGCTTTTGGAGTTGAAATGTCAAGGAAGGAAGGCGGGGTTCCTGCTACCTAGTTTGACCAGTGTCTGACCACCTTTCTTATTTCTATTCATCATTACCTGATTTATTTTCTTAGTCCAAAAATAAAGAATCCTAAATTGCATAATAAAGGTGGTACAATCTGAAAGGAAAATAGTTCATTGGAGCAAGGCAGAGGCTCAAAATATCCATACCAATGTACAGCGGATTTCTGCTTTTCAGTGTAGCCCCTCTGTAAAGTCCTGTTCTGCCCATAAAGCTCCTGTTTCCATTTAGTCCTCAAACTTAAAAACTGATGTCCTCCCCTTGTCAGACTGGAGTAGTTCACAGAAACTTGTGTACTGAGTCACCAGTCACACGGCTGGCTGCCTGCCACCATGCGTCTGCTATCAGCCAGAGTCTTGCTATCTGAAAGGAATGATTGCCCTGATCCTAAAAAGGCAAATGCAACAATTTATGTATTTTGCAACAACAAAACAAAAAAAAAATCAGCTCTGATCTGATCTAGAACCATTCTGGTTGAAAGGGTTCAGTTTGTTCTTTGGCAAAAGAAAACTTCATTATTAACTGTGCCTCTCCCTCCTACCCAACCCTACCCTCCCACCCCCAACCCTTATCCAAGCTAAGAGGTAATAAATCATCCAATGTCAGAGTTTGCATAAGTTAAATAGCAGTTTTAAGGAGAAGAAAGCACAAGGGATATCACGAAAGCTTCCCATGTATTATAATGCAACCTGGTGTCAGATAAGAAAGTTTGATAGCTCTTAGCAACATTACAGTGTGTCTTGGTCACTTGAGGCAGTGGCCCATGTTTTCTACTCTTAGAGCCCCTGGATGGTGAAGTGAACATGGGAATTATGCTGCTTTATGTTCCACCGGATACAATCCTTGCCTCTCTCACGGCAGGCGGCACACACCCTGGTGCACGGCCGAGCCAAGTGCACAATTGCAGCTGGAATGGTTTTGCTTTTCTTCCAGACATTTCTGTTTCACTCGGTCTTCCTGACATTCTCACTAAGGATAGAGCTTCCTGCCTCTTAAAACTTAGGTGTTGTCAGTCATTTGGGGAAGAATAAATGGATACCGTTCCATAATAACATCTTTGTCCATTAATCTTCTAAAACACTTCCTGATGTCTAAGAAACAGGCTGCTTAAAATTATTTTTGTCTTTTCCTTTTATTCACTGCCAAAGTACTGGATACACCTAAATATTGCATAGCCTTGATGTGTGTGAACAGAGCCCTCATAAGAAGAGGTACAAAACTGTTCTAAGTCAATTTTCCAGGGTTGGATCTGAAAGAATTTCTGTGCCCAAAGGAACTTCTTCAAAATGCAAATATAAATAGCCAGGCTCCTGATGGCTCAGACCTGTATTTCTAGCTACTCAGGAGGCTGAGATCTGAGGATCACAGTTTAGCTTTGAAGCCAGACAGGGCAGAAAAATCCATGAGATTCATGTCTACTTAACTACCAAAGTGCCAAAAATGGAGCTATGGCCCAATGAGTGGAATATCAACCTTGAGTGCACAAGTTAGGGGACAGTACCCAGGCCCTGAGTTCAAGCCCAAGTATTGACAAACACACACAAAAATGAAAATAGAGGTGCATATTGATATGACACTGGACATTCCAGGTAGCTTCTTCACATATACAGAAGGGGTGTTTTTGTAACAAGACTCTTACTGATGTTTCTACAAAGTGACTAAAACGTGCACTTTTATCTCCAGATACATCAAATCAGAATTCTTTATTTCTTAATACATTAATGAGAACCTATATGTTCCTGAAGAAGACAAAAATAGATTTATTGGACACTTTTAAATTTTCTTTCTCCTTCCTCTGAATCCATAGCTTATCATTGATAAAGAAAATAATATTTCTGGTCAACCAAAACTTGGCATCAACCAGCATGAAAATAAGTATAGGCAGTGTTAAGAATGAAGACACTTCTGTATATAATTCTGCGTTTTAGTTCTGTGAGCTTCATGATCACACTTTGTAGGAGAAGTAATAACCAGTTTAAAAACTGAAGTAACTTAATGTAAAGCACTGTGTGCTGTTAAGCATCAGGACCAAGCCAGGTCTGGAAAGCAATTACAAAAAGAAGAGCAACAGCCAGTATTCCTGGTAGTATTTGTTGCTGGCTTTGTGGGTGGGTACTGGCGCACCTGTGATCTTGAGACATCTGTTACTGATTTTGAAATTGGTAATTCAGAGCTGACCTTCTTATAGTTGCCAAAATTGGAAAAAAAATTGTGTGTGTGTGTGTGTTTACTGGCACTTGATCTCAGAGCTTCACATGCTTTCATGGCCTTCTGGCTCACACCTGGCACTATTACTTGATCCACACTTTCCACTTGGTGTTTGGATTGTTATTTTGAAGATGGAAATCTCACAGAATTTTCGGTGCAGGCTGGCTTCAAACCGAGATCCTTCAGATCCCAGCCTCCTGAGTGTCTAGAATTCTAAGCATGAGCCACTGGCGACCAGCAAGATTAGAAACATGTTTAAACTTTAAATGTTTACATAAAATAAAAGACAAATAAAAGACATTACACCTCTTATCTCAATGTAGGCGTTTATTTGTTCCTTACTGTCATTGTTTTATTTTGCAATTTGGGGCGCCTGCCATGAGCTAGGTACTATAGTGAGCTTTCTTGAGAGAAGGATGGAGGAACAGCCTCTTCCTGCTGGAATTGCCCACTATAGATAGACAAATAAATAAGATTAGAGATGCAAGGAACCTACAGGAACTTGGATTGGTGACATGGAGGTGAGACAACCAGTTTGTTAGAAAGACCAAGTGTGAGGGTGCCAAGGAAGACTTCAGGAGGAGATGGAACTGGTCCAGAACTTACCACACCCACCATCTTGTGGGCACATCCACTGCTGGTAAGGCCAGCTATGAGATTGTGCCTTCACAGATGTATTGCATATTATTAAGTGTGCCCAGGTTATCATACTTCAAGTATGCAATAAATGTTAAGTATAATTCATTTTCTTTCCCCACTAACTCTTCTTAGCATTCAGACTCAGCTGTTGCCCAGAAATATTTTTAGTTTTTAATAGATTTAGGTTACTCTTCTTAACAATGTGTCCAATAATTTTGAAATGCATCCTGCAAGAAGCAAAAAACACTGATTACTGCTGTGCCCTGAGCAATTTAGTGATTACTTTTGGACCTTTGCATTGCTGGGAATTCTCCTTTCTCTCAGCAATGCTTATGGACTCTTAAATGTCATTATTTTCTATGTGTTCATTTAAGACCAGCTTGTAAAATCTGGGCTTGGATTACAGCCCTTGCATTTCACCTTGCCATGATTGAGCACCTGCTTCTCTTACATACTTAGACAGTCATTCTAAAAATGTAGGCCATTTCTTACACTTTGGATTTAGTTGGCTTTTAAATTTTGCCAAGTTTAATCACATATTTTTCATTAGCTCTTACCCCCCCCCCATAAAATATCTACATAAAAACAGGTATTTGTAAGGTGCCAGTGGCTCATGCCTGTAAAGCTAGGTACCATAAGATGTTGAGATCTAAGGATCGCAATATGCAATGCAAAACCAATCCTGATAGAAAGTCCATGAGACCCTTATCTCTAATTAGCCACCAAAAACCCAGAAATGAGGTTGTGCCTCAAGAAGTAGATTGCTAGCTTTGAGCAAATAAAGCTTAGGGACAGCGCCTAGCCCTTGAGTTTAATCTCACAACTGACAAAACAGCAACACACACACACACACACACACACACAGACACATATTAATTAATTAATTAGTTAATTTTAAAAAGCAGGCGTTGCAGTTGTTCATAGCAGGGCCTACAATCATGGAGTCAGCCTGAGTCCTAATCCATTGCCCAGTTCAGCATTCATGTGTACATTTTCAAAATCTGTGTGGTTGAAGACCTGGCCTCCCCCGTCATCATCCTCATTCACACTACTTGACATCCCAGGTGGCAGTTTCCCTCCGAGCTCTGAACCCTTACCCCTGGCCTCAGGGAACTAATTCCTTCTGTGATTTTCTGTGGTCCTTTGTAGTCCTCCTGTCTCTAGTGCTCCTCTTTGTCCTCTTTCCTTGCTCCCTGACTTCTAGGTAGTTATTCTTCAAGGTTCTGGCCTTCATCAGCTTCCTGTGGGCAGCTATCTGCTTCTATTGCTTGCTCAGCAGGGCCACACTTCACCCACCATCAAACCTGCCCCAGACTCCTGTATGCTCTCCAGATCTGGATATGCTGTCTCAGGGCTCTGGCTCAAGCATCTGCCTAAAACATACCTCCCACTTGGCCTTCAGCATTTTACTGAAATGGTACCACCACAGTGAGACATTCTGAGCTAGTGTCTTTTTTCAGTCTTTCCTCTTTGGAATTCCACCAGGCCAGAGACTTTGTGACTTAAATCCCAGAGCCTTGAACAGTACTTTTGTCTGCAGAAAATGCTCATCAGTATCTGTGGAATGAACCAATGAGTGAATTATGGCTTAGGAGGATGGTAGTGTTTCTGTAGCAATGGAGATCTTTGCCCTTGCTCCTGGTGCTCACCCAGCTCCTCCCTTTGAGCGGGCCCGAATTTCCTATTCTGTAGGTGGACAGAGAGTACTAGACTAGTGTTCTCTGACACATCTACTAATGATCAGAACCCATGAAATGAGGCTCTATTGTATGAAATACTGTTTATATGACTTTTGAAACTGCTATCTGTGCTTAAAACACAGCAGCAGCTCAGATGAGCACAGTGATTACCTGAAACACAAAATATATAAAAGTGAATGCATTGGAGTTTGTTGGTATGCCTATTTAAAAAAATAAAAATATTGGCCACTATTTAAAGAATCACCATTTTCTGTCACTAAGTGTATTCAATACTCCACCTATTTTTGTCAAATAAAAAATAATTGCAATCTTCTTTTCCTGTGTTTTTTTTAGCTATTCCTTGCTGCTCGGAACACTTTAAGAAAATAAGGCCTCTCATGACATCTGCCTGCTGTCCATAAAGTACTCATTCCCCTCTTAAGTAAGTATATTGCTCTGCTTTTATCTGGTTTTGCAGAAGGTATTGATTCTTTCTGAAAGCCTTTGTCATTATTAGATTAAAACAAGCAGCCTGAAGATTCAGATATTCTACTGTCTAGCAAAAACCAACCAAAAGTCTACAAGTTTTAGATACCTACCAGGACCAAAATAACACAATAGACATACTTTTCCAGGATTTAATGATAACCTTCTGCGTAGATGTTAGTAGTTGTAGTTGATTAAATGCTGTATGGTGTTGATTATTGATCTCCAAGGTATTTGGAAGATTTGTTTTCTTGGTGTGCATTTAAGGACAACATAAAAAGCAGGGAAGGAGGAGGAAGGGAAGGAAAGAAGGAAGGAAGGAAGGAAGGAAGGAAGGAAGGAAGGAAGGAAGGAAGGAAGGAAGGAAGGAAGGAAGGAAGGAAGGAATTTACTCCAGAATGAAAAATACCCTGTCTGTGGTTGGGGATGAGGTGGTAGGATGGTCAGTGGCACGAGCTGGTTTGGGGAGAACTCTTTGCTGATGGGATACCAAGAGAGGTAAGTAGAGAGGGCAGGACCTGAATACCAGTCGAGGTCTAGGAAAGGTAGTGTGGATAGATGTTGTAGGCCTGCCAGTTCTACAGACTTGTCTGTAGGATGCTTTTCCACATGGTCAATCCCTCTAGACACTTGTTTCTAATTTCCATTGGAAAGCTGATGGTAAGCTCAGAAACATCCCTATAGCCTGGCCCACTTTCCCATAGAAGAGTCCATGAAACAGGTGACCCATAAGCAAAGGACAAATGGTTTCCTTCTTTTCTGGAGTGACTGACAGCTTTGGACAATGGGATGAGGAGTTTGGGAAAATGCAAACACACATGCCTGTCTTGAGTGAAAGAGTGGCAAAGAGATGAGCCTTCCTGAAGACACATTCTAAGTGACCACATACTTTGGTTTGATGGACAGTTTTTCTCCAGTCTCCTTCCCAGCATCCATGTGAATGTATCATTAGTTATATAGTACATCATCTACTTTGTAATTATTATTGTATTATGCTGGACATTGTTGGCTGGATGTTGTCTACAAGAACCTTACAATCTAACTTAGGCTATGAATTAAGAGCCAACTTGTACCTTTCCTCTATTAATATAGCATCCCTAATGCCCAGGAAAGACTGAAAAGCTAAGTGGATCTGGGTATAATCTTAGCTTTGCTGCTCACTTAAAACTGTGGCAGATGGACAGGGTGTGGTTGCTTTAGTTCAGAGGGTCTCTTTTCCATGAGCTTAACAGCACATCAGTAGGGGTTGCTGGGAAGATATCAAGATGTTCCACTGGGAGGTGTCTGCTTAAGCATGGGCATGGACAGAGCTGACTGTCCATGGTAATAGTAAGTGCTTTGATTTTTTATCAATATTATTTAGTATTACCTTGTGTTAGGAAGGTTACTTGTGGTTCTCATCCACAAGTTTGTGGGTTTTAGTCAGTAAACCTTAGCCCTGACTTCCTAATATTCAATAAGTAGGGTTTATGTGTGCAAATCACTTTTGGTTAATACGTTATCTCTTGAATAATATGCTTACCCTTTTAAGAAGAATTTGAAAGAATGTGACTATCCTCGTTTTTTCTCTTATCAGTATCCAAATGTTTTTACCTTCCAGGCTGTTGTTACATTTAAAGCTTATTAAAACCTCCTTTTCTCAGCTCCTGTATTATAGAGAGGCTGCTCCAGATCTTACCTTCCTAAATATCTAGGTTTCTGAGTGTAATAGCCATCAGTGCTCAGTTCTCTTTCTGTTTCTTTGTTTCTTCCTCCCTCCCTCCCTTTCTTCATTTCTTTCTTTCTTTCTTCCTTCCTTCCTTCCTTTTTTAAGGTGGCCTCTTGCTTAAAGGAATTGAAAAGAGAAATGCGAGCAAGAAAATGCTTTTATGTTTTTTAGTTAAAGTTTCTTGACTTTATATACATGAAATTGCATGACAAAAATATATGTAAGTCATTTTTAAAGGTTTTACATGGACCAGTTTTGGTGCTTTATCCATATGGTTGCAATTCCAGGAAGTCAGCTAGAAGACTCCCTTTGTTTTCAGTTTCATCAGAGGTTAAGTAACTGATCAAGTCAACTTCTCCTTGAAAGTTGCTGTTTCCCAAAGTTCTCTGGGTTGTATTTTGGTTTTGGTTTTGTTTTGTTGTATTTCTTTGCTTGTTTGTAAAGCACATGCTACCTGCTGGACAAATTGCTCGGAGTAATGACAGACCACACACATTTTGGGGTGTTAAGTGGTCCTGGCAAAAAGTACATGCCACTTTTCCCCCCAAACGCTCCTCCACCCCCACTCAACTCAGAGTTCCCTTTATAAGGATCCGTTTGTGCCTTGCCCGTGACTCATCTTCCCGTCATGCCAACACCTCTGGCTTCTGCCTCTTTCCAGATCAACTCTGCCAAGAGAATGACTCAGAGCTCAGGTTCCCCAGCCTGGTCAGGTGGGGTTCCTCCTGGGCCTCTCAGCTGACCTTGCACAAGTTCTCCTTGGGAGCCAGGGAAAGTCGGCCACAGTAATGAGACCTGCTCGGTAGTCTGACCAGCCAGGCCTGCCTGCTGAATTTTTAACAAGAGGAAATAAAGGAGAGTGTGTTTATGCTCTGGCAAAAGCAGCCAGGATTATAGATGTTTTATTCTCCTTAACCAAAGATTGTATAGGTTCCTATGAGGATAGAGCGATAGTCTCGTACCTAAAAGAAAATACTCCTAGCCAGGTGCCAGTGGCTCACGCCTGTAATCCTTGCTACTCAGGAGGCTGAGATCTGAGGATCACGGTTCAAAGCCAGCCCAGGCAGGAAAGTCCGTGAGACACTTATCTCCAATAAACCACTCAGAAAACTGGAAGTGGTGCAGTGGCTCAAGTGGTAGAGGCTAGCTTTGAGCTGAAGAGCTGAGGGACAGCATTCAGGCCCAGAGTTCAAGCCCCGTGACCGACAAAATAAATAAAATACTCCTACATTCAGAATGTAGACTTCCAGTTTCGAGTATTGAACATGTGTGAAGAAGTTGAAAAGTTCAAGGATTTAATACAGCTTAAAAACTATTGATTACAGTTTTAAATTACCGGTTATGTTGGTATATTTTACAAAGTTTTAATCAAGTGACAGACAAATTCTCTGTTACTATCTGTTCATAGTTGTTACAGTTAATTATTAAGACATTCAGGATGTGAAATGGATCATGATCAATGTCTAGGTCAGGGTCACTGGTTCTCTTACAAGGATTGATGAAATGGACAAATTGAATGCAGCTGAGTCCATGGGCTGTGGAAGGCCAGCTCGAAGCCCCTCGAAGCCCTGTGCTTATGGTCTGCACTTGCCATATTCAGAAAGTAGATTTTTCCCGCATTCCACCTCTGGTGGAGGTGTTTCATGGAAAAGATGGTAATACGTGGCACAGGAAAGTGCTCACCTATAACTAAGAAGCAAAAACAGAAGAGGAAGGTGCTGGATTTCCATAATTCTCTTTAAGAGAACACTCCTCAGTCACCTAACTTTCTCCCACTAACCTCCACTTCCTAAAAGTAGTGCCCACCTAGGGACAAAGCCTATGACATCTTGGCCTTTGGAGGACATGTAACATTCAGATTATGGAAGGGAACAGAGAGGTTAAACATTTGACCAACAAGCATCCACGTGATTAAACACAAGCCTCTATCAAACCCCTGTCAGCCCTTGACACCAGTTGATTGCTTTGAAGAGAATGAGTCATAAACCAGTGAGTAAGTTGTGGGAGGTTGGGCAGTGAAGATAGGAAAGTTACAAGGAAGCATGGGTGTCTAGTAGGATGTTACAATGATTCCTTTGGAACCATGAAAATCTTTAGTAAGAGAAGGGAATAGATCAAAAAGTCAGTTAATGAAGAAGGGTAAAAGCATACAATTTAAGAGATTGTAGCTGTCCAAGAAAAATACAAAAATACTGCCTGATTTTCTTCCCCATGAAGAAAGTGTTTGCTACCATCTCTAGGAGTGATCCGAGGGACCCTCCCTGTGTTCTGAGGACTTTAGAGTGGCAAAGTGTTCTGGAGACTGTGTGATTAGTATGTGGTAGAATACCCTCCCCAGGCTTCCCTCTATCTTCCATGCTGTAGGATGGAAGTATGTTGTTTATTCAGTTCTGTTATCTTCAAAAAAAAAGTTCATATATAAAAATGCAGCAGAATACCATAAATACTCCTAATCTTCATTTCTCTCCCTTTGGGAATTCTTTCTCCTTTATAAGGGAGTGGACATAACTATCTCTATTCCTGGTGTTTGCCTCGTTTTACGTGTCTCTAAACCCATTGTTGTTCTGAAACCCTTATCTCACCTTTACTTGAATTTCCATAGGAAATGTTTAAAGCCCAGCTCCACTTTATCTTTGTTCAAAGAGACAGGCTTTCTCACTGAGTGCCTGTTCTCCACCATGTGCTGCTGAGCTGTCTTGCACTGGCATAACTACCTGTTCCTCTCCAGGTAACTGTTACTGGCTTAATCCTACCCCAGTCGTCCACCTCTAGCCTCTGCTCTCAAACCAGTCCCTCTAGTAAGCAGAACACTGGTATTGTAATACATCCCTGCTCTGGAATCTTGTTTTACAGTTGTCTATTGACAGTTCAGATGCCCAAACCTCCTTCCAGAGTTATCCAAAGTCAGTATCCATTTCTCTACTCTGGCTCTGTCTTCACTTGGCTCACCACACCCAATACATTTTTTCCTCAGAATTCTTCTCAATTACTTTCTCCTTTAACCCAGGAAATCCTTACTGTATGGCACATGTAAAAAATTACTCTTACCACTTAAAAAAATTTCCCCAACTCAAGATTTATTTATCATTTTGGAATTCATTCAACAAATTTCATTATAATTTAACATGTGCTGTGTGTATTAGTCAGTTTTCTATCACAAAACCAATCATCTAGATAAGCTGCTTGTCTAGGAGCAAGAGGAGGATGTTTAGCTTGTGGTTTATAAGGACCAACAGCCTAGTACCTAC